CCCAGGACACGGTTGGCTTTGTGGGCTGTAATTGCACATGGCCGGGTCATGCTGAGCTTCTTGTCAACCAACACCGTCAAGTCCTTCTTCTCAGGGCTGCTCTCAATACACTTTGGATGAGGGCAGGAATCTTCCTGACATGTTTTGCCCTCAAAAAGTAACTTCCAGACTGGAAACCTCTGCCTCCTCTTAGCATGGCCATGAGTTGGTTCCTGTTTCCATCTTTTCCATCACCTTGTCAAGAGGGAGGTGGTGGGAAGCAGGTCCAGAAGGAAACCCCTTGCTGATGCGAGGATTGCTCACCTGGCAGTGGCAGACCTACCCTTGCTCGCACCCCACTGATCTGTGGGGTTTCTGGGTCAGAAAGGTCGTAGCCTTTCTTGGGGCATCTGGTACCTTCTCCAGCATGGCTGTTGGACAGGGGTCCGTGAGGACAGCCAGTTGATGCCGACTCTGTCCTCGACAGGCTGCCGTCCCTACTCCATCCCCCCCTGTGAGCACCACGTCAACGGCTCCCGGCCACCGTGCACCGGAGAGGGAGGGGAAACCCCCAGGTGCAGCCGACGCTGCGAACCCGGCTACTCGCCCTCGTACAAAGAGGACAAGCACTACGGTAAGGGAGGTGGCCTCCGACACTGCTCGATGCACAGCAGCTCCTGCTCGATGCGCAGCAGCTCCAGAGCTGCTCCTCGTGATAACTTGGTGGGGTCGGCAGGATTGGACCTCTTCCTAAGTTGTTTCACGGTGCTTATTTTCAGTGCCCTGAGGATGGGTGGTCCTGGAGCAACCATAAACCTGGCAGATGCCCAGTTTGTATTTACTGAGACAGAACTGATCTGAGTGTTTGTGGTGCACATGCCTGGGTTGAAGATCATGGTGCTGAGCCCTGTGGGAGTCTGGTGTCAAAGCCACCTCCTTCTTACTCCTTGGTGGTAGCCGGCTCTATCCATGTTGGATAGTCTGGCTGCTTCTTGGAGATTTGTCTCAGCCTCAAGTAGTTTGGGTGGTTTTGGAAATGAGGATGTACAAAGGGAAAAAGTGAAGCTGTCTGGAATAGGTCTTCAGGCACCGAATAGGACTCAGGTTAAATCATTCCCTCTGGAAGAGGGATGGTTGGAGCCCACTTTTCCTGCCTGGCTGTGTCAGTGCCTCTGGAGCAGCTGGGTTTGAATTTCACCTTTAAGTGGAGAAGGCCTCTTGGCAGGGCCACGCTGAGCAGTCTCTGTTCAGCCACCCCAAGACCTGTGTGACCTGACAATGCCGTACTAATGGTGGGATGTTTTTCCTCCCTAGGCATCACATCCTACGGTGTCCCTCGTAGCGAGAAGGAAATCATGGCTGAGATCTACAAGAACGGCCCGGTGGAAGGAGCCTTTATTGTCTATGAGGACTTCCTGATGTACAAGTCTGGTGAGCATCAGCTCTGAGGCTGTCGGGAGCCCTGTTCCCTACTCCATCCGTAGGGTCTATCTGCCGTGGTTCTTGTCCCTCTACTCAAGTCTAAAGGAGATCTGAAGTTCACACTTGAGTAGCTGGCGTTGCAAGAACATGAGCAGATACCATCTCCTGTATCTACTGGTTTATAGCAAGGGGAGTAGGTGCTGGGGGCTGGCTCAGGGAGGAAGCCCCAACGGGGACCCCCCAGAATGGCAGCTGAGGACAAGAGCTAGGATTTTAGGTAAAATCCTGACAGATGACTCTCCTGGTGTGGACCGCAATTCCCTGTTCTGAAGGGCTGGGGATGTGCCACCCTTGGGCCCCTTGCTGAGTGTCTCTGGGTGTCCTGCCTGCGGAGCCGATGCTCAGCATCGGTCCTTCCTCCAGCCTCTGCACTAAGCTTCAGGTTTGCATTTAACCGAAACCACCTTCTCAGGCAGTCTCCGGGGTTTGATATCGAACGTCTCACAAGCTGTCAGAGCCCTGAAGCGTGGGGACACAGTCCCCGTTGACATGTTGGCGTTTTGCCTTGCAGGGGTCTACCAGCACGTCTCCGGCGAACAGGTTGGAGGCCACGCGATCCGGATCCTGGGCTGGGGGGTGGACAACGACACTCCGTACTGGCTGGCCGCCAACTCCTGGAACACCGACTGGGGGGAAAACGGTGAGGCACCCCTGGATGCTGCCGGAGGGAACCCCCTCCCCATTCACCTTGGTGCAGTAGGGAGGTTGACTTTTGCTCTTGGTGTGCTTTCAGGCTTCTTCAAAATCCTCCGAGGAGAGGACCACTGCGGCATCGAGTCCGAGGTCGTGGCTGGCATCCCTAGCACGGAGCAGTACTGGAAGAGGGTGTAACCTTGATCAAACCACCAATAATCCTGAGTCCCCGATGCTTTTAACTGATAGCGGGTTGGGTGCAGAGCCCCCCTTCTAAGAGACTATAGTTAAGGTTACTTTATTAAAGCTTTTTATCTTTTTTTTTTTTTTAATTGTATGGTGGAGCTGGAGGTGGAACTGCTCTCTGCAAGCCCTCTGCTCCTGGTGGGTCGCAGCTATGGGGCATTCCCCGCTTGAAGGACTGCTGGAGGGCTGGCTGGCCTCTTGTGCCGTGGAATTTGGTTAGCCTGGACCCCTTCCAGCCCAGTCTGTTACTGGGAGAGTAGGAAGCAGTAGTTTGTGCTGGGACTATGGACTTGGTGGGGCAGCGGAGGTGGACCCTGCTGGGAAGCCATGGCCAGGGGTGATTTGTGCACCCCTGGCTGGGTTGGTCTGCCTGTTAGCACCCGAAACAAGCAGGGTATGTTAGTGTGTGCCTTGAATTGGTTAAATTTAGACCTATTAACGACAAAATACTGACAAACTTGATGTGGGGCTGGCTCTGGCCAGCGCTGCGTTAAGGTCCCTTCCTGCCTGCAACAAGTCCTTTGTGCATCGCTTGCTCTGCTCCATCCATTCAGCTGCTTTTTAAACCACTTGTTCCTCAACTGTGTATTTGCTTTTTATTCTGCTGTAGTCTGGGGTTATTGATCCTAGGAAAGGGCCGGGCTAGAGCTCCGCAAACCTTTGATGAAATGTCCTGCAAGCATCTGGGAGCACGCTGGAAAGAGCAAATCCCTTTTCATCCGTGGCTGGGCAGCTTGGTGCGCGCAGCGGGGTCACGCCTTGGCAAGGGTGCTGCATCCCAAATTGGCGTGGGGCTTTGGGACCGCGGGTGCTGAACGCTGAGCAGAGATGAGGGATGGTCCTCCCCAGGTCTGCTGCAGGGAGCTCATATGGATGCTTGGGGGTATCTCGCTGACTTGCACACAATTGAAGGTGGTTTTGGGGTTTTTTTGAGCCACAGGCATTAAGGAAGGAAAAAAAAAAACCCCATACCCTTATTTTTGTTACTGGGGGGTGGTGTAATAGCTGTGTAGGAGGAATCGTGATTTGTCAAGAGCTTTTTTTTTTTAAAAAAAAACAATTTTAAAGCACAAAGTATATTGCTGAGCTGAGGCTACAAGGCCTGGAAGGCGTGAAGCAGGCTCTCCCTTGCACTGTAAAATAGCCCCTTACCTCCGCTTGCTCAAAACACCAGTGAGCCAGAGCTGTGGTGTAGAGATGATTGGAACTGTGCCAATAAATGGTTTCTCCAATGTCTTGTCTCCTGGCCTTCGGTTGCTTCTGCTTGACTTCAAACCACCTCAAACTATTCTCCTGTTGTTCTGTACAAGCCAGGTGAGACCTTTCTGGCTTGATCTAAGCGTGGTCAGTCCCAGCCCTGTCCTCTGGCCATACTGGTGACAGAGTGACTTGTGCCGACTCCTCAGCAGCCCCTGGGCATTGCCTGCTCCTGGTGATGGGGAAGATGCTTCAACATGGACCAGAGCGCAGCAAGGACCGTGCCCAGCATCTCTGCACGCTGGCACAGAAGGTCCATGGGCAGAAGGATGCACCAAGGCACTGGAGAGCAGTTGTGTGCCTGCAGCCCTGGGCTGTACCACCACTCCTGCTGCAGTGTGCCCAGGTGGCCAAGAAGGCCAACGGCATCCTGGCTTCTATCAGCAATAGTGTGGCCAGCAGGACCAGGGCAGTGATCGTCCCCCTGTACTCGGCACTGGTGAGGCCGCACCTCGAGTGCTGTGTCCAGTTCTGGGCCCCTCACCACAAGAAAGCCCTTGAGGTGCTGGAGCGAGTCCAGAGAAGGGCAACGAAGGTGGTGAAGGGTCTGGAGCACAAGTGTGATGGGGAACGGCTGAGGGAGCTGGGGGGGTTTGGTCTGGAGAAGAGGAGGCTGAGGGGAGACCTGATTGCTCTCTACAACTCCCTGAAAGGAGGGGGTAGCCAGGTGGGGGTCAGCCTCTTCTCCCAGGCAACCAGTGACAGGACAAGAGGGCATCGTCTGAAACTGCACCAGGGGAAGTTCAGGCTAGAAATGAGGAGACATTTCTTCACAGAAAGGGTCGTTAGGCATTGGGATGGGCTGTCCAGGGAGGTGGTGGAGTCCCCATCCCTGGAGGGGTTTAAGAAAAGACTGGAGGTGGCACTTAGTGCCATGGTCTGGTTGACATGGGGGTGTTGGGGCAAAGGTTGGACTCGATGATCCCAGAGGTCTCTTCCAACCTAATTGATTCTGTGCTGCCTGCAGGGCAAGGGCCATTAAAAGTTAATTTACCAACCTTTAGCTGTCTCTCACCTTGGTTAAAACTCTTTCTTCAGGTCTGGCACACAAGGCTTTATTCTGATGTACTGAGTGGCAGCAAGGAAGCATCTGTATTTCATCTGAGCTGAGGGCTTGTAACTTGTGGCACAGTAGGGAATAGCCAGTGTAAAAGAAATAACAGCTAAAAAAAAATTACCTTTTTTTCTCCAAAGAAAACTTTAATTTTAACAAGACGGGAAGCTGCACAAAGAGAGCTACCACAAGATTTTTTTTAACAATGGCTTTAAACTATCTACATTGATACTTGTGGAGTACGGGTCCTCCCTCTGAGTAACAGTCTGGCCACGTGGGCTTGGCCTTGCAAAGGCCACCAAACCATACCTGGTAGACTTAGCTCTGTCCTGCACCAGGACACAGGCTGTCCTCCCCTTCACAAAGGCAAAGCAGCATTTGGGGGCAATAGGGACGATGAAAACAAAAATCCACCCCAGGAAAACAGGACTTAGCCTTTAAAGTGTCATTTCTTCTTCTCACCGAAGCTGTTCCCAAGAGGAATGTGGCCCATTTCTAAGTCCAGCCTGATGTGTTTCAAAACAGCTGTGGAAGCCTCTTCCAGTTTGCACATCAGTCTAACCCAAAGCATCCTCCTAAGCTAGAGTTAAAATGAGCCAGGGAAACCTGCCCTGGCCATCTCCTCCGTGGCTCATGCCTTCCCAGCCCATGGCAGGGATCACTGCAGCCTTTCAGGGCAGCCAATGCACCAAGGCCCCCAAAAAAGCATCCCACAAGGGACAGGACAGTACCAAGCCTCACTCTTACTGCCTTGCAGAGGGAGCCAGTGCTGCTACGATGGTGCTGCCCTGCCACAGCCCTCGGTCCCCTCGGGCTGGAGAAGTGGTGCAGAGCCCAGACCCTGCAGCGGAGTCAGGCACGGGGTTATGAGCTCAAGGCCACGCAAGCGGTTCCCTTCTCCTCCTTTGAACCACCTCCCCAGGTGCTAAAACACAAAGCTTTGGAAGTGCAGGGTGCCATCTGCTGAGGGCAGGGAGCTGCAATAGATGGCTTTCAGCTGGGGGCACATTAAAGCGGACAGAGCATTCCACCTCCAACATTATTTAACATTAAAAGGGCTTTCGTTTCAAGCCTAGCAGCCTCCTTCAACACAACAACAGAGATGTGAAAATTGCCTCTGCCTGTTTCCAGGCTGCAGGGTACCAACCAGCCTGGGCTGAGGGCCAGAAGGTGGCCAGAGCTTTGTCCCTAGATAAGGAAGCATATTCCTCTCCTGGCTGAAGCAGCCTCCTTCCAGTGCGGAGCAGGCACCAGAGGCGATGGGGAAAAGGCTGTCTAAGAAAGGGAGGCAAAACCCAGAAGGTTTTGCCCAGCTCTGAACTGAAAAGGTGTCTCAAGCAAAAAAAGGAGGCAACTGGAGTTTCTATTTAAAACAATCCTAACTAAAAAAAAAAAAAAAAAAATTCAGGTAAAACATCCAACAGGAAAGAAGGGAAAAAAAAAAAAATATTCAACCCCAAACAGTCAGACTCGGATTAGCATTTGTAACCACCCAAGCAGATGGCAAGGGCGGTGAGGAGTGGAGTCCGGCAACACCGCACCATCACCCCGGGGCTGCAGCTCACCAGCATCCCGTCCTTGTCACCGTCCCAGGCTCCGTGGCACCCCGGTGCCCGGCCAACCCCACCGGCAAGGGACAAGGAGCCTCCTGCCTCCGCTGCCCATCCGCCGACCATCTCTCCCCCTGCCCGCCCACTGCCCATCAGTTCTCGCCCGCCTGGACGTACTCCTCGGTGGCCTTGGAGAGGGTGCTCAGGTATTGCCAGCTCAGGGCGGCCAGGAGCATGGCACAGGACAGGTAGATGGGGGAGTAGAGGTGGCGTGATGTCATGGGGCCACTGGGCAAGCTCATGGTACGGATGGAGGCGATGACCTGCTGCGTCTTGTTGGATGATGGGTCAGTGCTTGGGATCTTCTGGTAGATCTAGGGAGGGAAGAAGGAGTGGTTGGTTCCCATTCAAGGTTGAGAAGACAAAACAGGACCACCGGGTGGAAGAGGAAGCCTTAAGGGCCACCGTGTCCTCAAGAGAAACCTCAGTGGTGGACTGCCATGGAGCAAGGACCAGCTTCAAGGGATGCTTGGATGGGACCAGGGCCCATCTCCCTGGAGAAGTGCACTAAGGCAAGACGCCTCTTGAGGGCACCCCATGATGGGAGATGGGACCACAGGGCTTCAGACACAACCCCCAACACAACTGGGGTTGCTGGGACCAGCAGTTCTTGCTCCGCAATCCTCGCTCACTACCAGTGTGCTGCAGCCCACCTCAAACCAGTGAGGACATCTCAGTGTGACTGCCAGAAAACGGCCACCTCCATCGGATAACCTCATGGTCTTTGGGGTTTTCTCTTCACGGCCTGCAAACCCTTTGAAGGTACTTGTCTGCATGAGTCTTACAGAGATGTGCCCAAGCACAGACCCTCTTCTGAGTTAAGGTGCTGAGGTGTCACTGTCCCTTGCCATGGGGTCAGCCAGCCCACAAAGGCAGCTCTAATAACCCATGGTTGGGGTCTCTCTGGTGCAGAAGTAATGTCTTTTTATTTAACAGCCCTTGCTGGATTTGTTTTTTGGGGTTGAGGTTTTTTTTTTTTCCCATCAAACCATCCACCAGTTGTTCCTCCACATGAACTTTTAACCTCCACAGCACCCTGAAGTCGGGAGTCCCACTGCTTTAACCACCTGTGAAGGGCTGCCCTTATTTACCGTTGGCCATGGAGCACAAGGAAACCACCACCACATCATGCTGCCAGCTGCAAATACAAACCCAGAGAAAAC